GGTATTCTGCTCAAAACACACCTAACATTTTTTTTAATTAAACTTTTCATTTTGAGATGATTATAGATTCTCATGCAGTTGTTAAATAAAAATAATAGAGAAATCCTTTGTATCCTTTCCCCCAACGGTAACATCTTGCAAAACTCTAGGATAATATCACAACCAGGATATTGACATTGATACAGTTATGATACAGAGCAGTTCTATCACGAGGATTCCTCCAGCTGCCCTTTGAGAGCCACATCCACTTCCCTCCCATCCTCAATACCTTCTTAATCCCCCGCAACTGCTAATCTATGTTCTCCATTTCTATTATTTTGTCATCTCAAGGATGTTATATACATGGAATCATACTGTATATAATCTTTTGAGATTAACTGTTTATCATATAGCATAATTCCCTGGAGATTTATCCAAGTTGTTGCATGTATCAGTAGTTCACTCCTTTTCATTGATGAGTAATAATATTCCATGGTATATATGTACCATAGTTTAATCATTAAAGGACACCTGTCTTGCTTCCAGTGTTTGTCTATTATAAACAAAGCTGATAGAAATATTCATTTACAGGCTTCCATGTGAACATAAATTTTCACTTCCCTGGGATAAATGCCCAGGAATGCAATTACTGGATTGTACGGTAGTTGCATGTTTAGTTTTTTAAGAAACTGCCAAATTGTTTTCCAAAATGAGTGTATCATTTTGCATTCTCATCCACAATGTTTGAGTGATCCGGTTTCTCTGTGTTTGGTATTGTCGCTATTTTTTAATTTAGCCATTCTAATAGGTGTGTAGTGATATCTCATTGTAGTTATAATTTGCATTTCCCTAATGGCTGATGCTGTTGAACAACTTTTCATGTTCTTATTTGTTGTTTATATAACTTCTGAAATATCTATTTATATCTTTTGCCCATTTTCTAATTGGATTGTTTATTTGTTTTTAAATGTTGAGCTTTGAGTGTTCTTTAGATATTCTGGATACTAGTGCTTTGTCAAATATGTAGTTTGCAAGTATTCTCTTCCAGTCTGTAGCTTTTTATCTTCTTAAGAGAGCCTTTTGCAGAACAAGTTTTTCATCTTGATGAAGTCCAATTTATCAATTTTTCTTTTTATGGATAATGTTTTTGATGTTAAGTCTAAGAACTCTCTGCCCAGTCCTAGATCCCAAAGATTTTCTATGATTTTTTTTCCTAAAAGTTTTATAGTTTTACATTTTATGTTTAGTCCATGATCCATTTTCATTAACTTTTGTATAAGGTATGAGGTTTAGGCCAAGATTTCTTCTTTTGCCTGTGGATATCCAGTTGTTCCAGCACCTGCAAACAGACTGTCTTTCCTCCATTGAATCACTTTTGTACCTCTGTCAAAAATTAGTTGGGTGTATTTGTGTGAGTCTGTTTCTCTATTTTGTTCCATTGATTTACGTGCCTATCCCTTTAATACCACACAGTCTTGATTACTCTAGCTATAAAATAAGTTTTGAAATTGGGTAGATGGATTCTTTCCGCTTTGTTCTTCTTTTCCAAAGTGTGTTAGCTATTCTAGTTCCTTTGTTTTTCCACATAAATTTTAAAATAGTCTTGTCTATATGTACAAAAAAGTCTTACAAGAATTTTATTAGGAATTCCGTTAATCCTGTGTATCAATTTGAGGAGGATTGACATCTTCATTCTGCTGAGCCTTCCAATCTAAGAACATGGTATATGTCTCCATTTATTTAGAACTTTGATTCTTTCAGCATTTTGTAGTTTTCAGCATACAAATCCTATACGTGTCTTGTTATATTTACACTTAAGTATTTCGTTTTATTTTTTGAATGATTGCAAATGGTACTGTATTTTTAATTTCAGTATGTACATATGTTCATTGCTAGTATGTAGAAATACAATTGATGTTTGTATGCTTATCTTGTATCCTGCGACTTTGCTGAATTCACTTGTTACTTCTAGGACTTTTTTTTTGTACATTCTTTGAGATTTTCTGTGTAGACAATTATGTCATCTGCAAATGAGGAGTGTTTTATTTCTTACTTTCTGATCCATATGATGTTTATTTCCTTCCTTGCCTTATTTCACTGGCTAGGACTTACAGCACTATGTTGAATAAGAGCAGTGAGAATAGATAGCCTTTCATTGTTCCCAATTTTAGGGGGAAGGCATTCAGTCTTTCACCATTAAGTATGTTAGCTGTAGGTTTTTTTTGTAGATGATCTTTATCAAGTTGAGGAAGTCTCTCTCTATTCCTCTGTTTCTGAGAGTTTTGATCATGAATGGGTATTGGATTTTGTCAAATGCTTTTTCTGCATTGATTGATATGATCATGTGATTTTTCTTTCTTAGCCTGTTTACATGAATTACAGTGATTGTTTTTTAAATATTGAACCAGCCTGGAGTCCATGGAACAAACTCTACTTGGTCATGGTGTATAATTCTTTTTGTATATTGCTAAATTCTATTTGCTAATATTTTTCTATGAGATTTCTTCATCTATATTCATAAGAGATATTGGTCTGTAGTCTTTTGTTTTGTTTTATACTGTCTTTATCTGGTCTGATATCAGTGTAATACTGGCTTCATAAAATAAATTGGAGTGTATATCCTTCTCTTCTATTTTCTGTAAGAGATTGTATGGAATTGGTGTTCATTCTTATTTAAATATTTGGTAGAATTCTCCAGTGAAACCATCTGGTCCTGGAGATTTCTTTTTCAAGCATTTTAAATTAAAAATTTAATTTTCTTAATGATTCAAATTATCTATTTCATATCGAGTAAGTTGGGAGAGTTCGTATTTTTTGAGGAATTAGTCCATTTCACATAAGTTGTCAAATTTATCTTTGTAGAGTTGTTCATAGTATTCCCTTAACCTTTTGATGTCTGCAGTGTCTATAATGATATCCCCTGTTTCATTCCTGATAACGGTGATTTGTGTCTGCTCTATTTTTTCTTTTGTCAGTCTTGCTAGAGCTTTGGCAATTGTATTGACCTTTTCAAAGAATCAGTTCTTTGTTTCATTGACTTTTCTCTAGGTTTTTTTTCTGTTTTCAGTTTCTTTGATTTCTGCTTTTATCTTTATTATTTCCTTTCTTTTGCTTGCTTTGGGTTTATTTTACTCTTTTTTTTTTTAGCTTCTTGAGGTGGGAGCTTAGATGATTGATTTAAGACTTTTTCTTTTGTAATGTATGCATTTAGTGTTACACAGTTCCCTCTCAGCACTGCTTTTGCTGTATCTCACAAATTTTGATATGTTGTATTTTCATTTTCATTCAGTTCAATATATTTTTTGGTTTCCCTTGAGACTTCCTCTTTGACCCATGGATTATTTAGAACTGTGTTGTTAGTTTCCAAGTGTTTGGAGATTTTCCCGTTATCCCTCTGCTGTTGATTTCTAGTTTAATTCCATTGTAGTTATAGAGCACATTCTGTATGATTTCAATTCTTTTAAATCTGTTGAGGTTTGTTTTATGGCCCAGCATATGGTTTCTCTTGGTATATGTTCTGTGAGCACTTGAAAAGAATGCATGTTCTGCTGTTGTTGGATGAAATATTCTAAAATGTCAATTCAGTCCTGTTGGTTGATGGTGTTTTTGAGTTTTTCTATATCTTTGTCAGGTTTTTGTCTGTTTGCTCTATAAATTATTGAGAGAGGGTCTTGAAGTTACCAACTATAACTGTAGATTTGTATATTCCTTTCGATTCTGTTAGTTTTTATTTCACATATTTTGCAACTCTGTTTTTTGGTGCATACCCGTTCTTTTTGGTGGATAAACTCTTTTATCATTATCTAATGTCCCTCTCTGTCTCTGATAATTTTCTTTGTTCTGAAGTTTCCTTTATCTTATATTAAGAGCTACTCCTGATCTCCTTTGGTTAATGTTTTCATGGCATATATGTTTTCCATCCTTTTTTTTTCAACCTGCCAATACTGTTATTTGAAGTGATTTTCTTGTAGACAGCATATAATTGGGTCATACTTTGTTTTTGTATTCCAGTCTGCCAATGTGTCTTTTAATTGGTATATTTAGACTGTTTATATTTAATGTAATTATTGATTTGTTAGGGATACATCTGCCATTTTATTTTAATTTTGTTTGTATTATCTATTTTTTTTCCTGCCTTCCTGTTGGTTATCTGCATACTTTTTAAAAATTTCACTTTGATTTATCTCTAGTGTTTTGGAGTGTATCTCTTTGTATAGCTTTTTAGTGGCTGCTCTAGGTATTACATTATATATACATAATTTGTCACAGTCTATTGGCATCATCATTTTACTAGTTCAAGTGAAGTGTGGAAACCTTACCTCCTTTATGTCCCTTTACAGATATTTAAAGATATAATTATATTTAAAGATATAATTATCTTTAAAATATAATATAATATAATATAATAAGTCTAAATTCCTCTACATCCATTTAGAATCACATCAGACAGTGTTATAGTTTTTATTTCAATCATCAAATATAACTTAGACTCAAAAAGAGAAAGAAAGCCTATTGTATTTACCCATATTTTTGCTTATCATGTTCTTTCTTCTTTTCTCATGTTCTAAGGTTCCTCCTTTTATTGATTCCTTTCTGTTTAGAGAACTTCGTTTAGTCATTCTTTTATGGTAGGTCTGCTGGCAACAAATTCTCTTGGTTTTCCATCATCTGAGAATGCCTAGGTTTCTCCTTCAAACCTGAAGGATGTTTTTGCTGGATATAGGGCTCTAGATTGGCGGATATTTTCTTTCAGCATTTGAAAAATGTTCTGCCACTTCCTTCTGTCATAGATTCTGATCAGAAACCTGCTGTCCAGTAGATTTGGTCTGCAGTATTTCAGGGTACTTAAGTCAACATGGGCACTAGGCTAAAAGTTCTCTAAGTCTGAGGCTTTACCCTCACCAAATAAATTAACGTTTATTCTACATTCTAGAAATTTATCATGAAATGTAATGGAGCATATATTAAAGACTTAACCAATATTTTTTGACTCAAGTTTCAAAGAAAAACTAGTATTTCTCTCTGATTCATTAAAACCTGGAAAGACGTAAGTGGTGAGCAGGAAGTAACTTTTTGTGTCTGTTTCTTTTTAATCCAGCATGGAGAGAAAACTTATATCATTGGTTCCATCTGTCTCCATATCAGAAAAAGAACTCAATGGCACCTTCAGCAGTAACAACAGCAACAGGAACTGCACAATTGAAGACTTCAAGAGAGATTTTTACCCCACTGTGTACCTGATAATATTTGTCTGGGGAGCCTTGGGAAATGGCTTTTCCATATATGTTTTCTTGCAGCTTTATAAGAAACGCACGTCTGTGAATGTTTTCATGCTAAACTTGGCCATTTCAGATCTCTTGTTCATAAGCACGCTGCCTTTCAGGGCTGACTATTACCTCAGAGGCTCCAATTGGATATTTGGGGACCTGGCCTGCAGAATCATGTCTTATTCTTTGTACGTCAACATGTACAGCAGCATTTATTTCCTGACTGTGTTGAGTGTTGTGCGTTTCCTGGCAACTGTTCACCCCTTCCGGCTCCTCCATGTCACCAGCATCAGAAGTGCCTGGATTCTGTGTGGCGTCATATGGGTCTTTATTATGGCTTCCTCAATAACGCTTCTGAAAAATGGCTCTGAGCAAGAGGGTAATGTCACATCATGCTTAGAGCTGAATCTCAATAAAATTGGTAAACTGCAGGCCATGAACCACATTGCCTTGGTGGTGGGCTTCCTGCTGCCATTCTGCACACTCAGCATCTGTTACCTACTGATCATCCGGGCTCTATTAAAGGTGGAAGTCCCAGAAACAGGGCTGCGGCTTTCTCACAAGAAGGCACTGACCACCATCATCATTGCCTTAATCATCTTCCTCCTGTGCTTCCTGCCCTATCATATACTGAGAACCCTCCACTTGATCATGTGGAAAGTGGGTACCTGCAGAGACTGGCTACATAAAGCTGTGGTCATCACACTGGCCTTAGCAGCAAGCAACAGCTGCTTCAATCCTTTCCTCTATTACTTTGCTGGGGAGAATTTTAAGGACAGACTAAGGTCTGCACTCAGAAAGGGTCATCCACAGAAGAGGGAGTGCAGCTTTCTTGTCTGTGTGTAGTTGAAGATGGAAACAAGAGTGTAAGGGGTTACTAGGTGCGGCCCATTCTTGTATCCTTGTGTCCACCTGCATTCACACACAGTCTCCAAATGACCTTGTATGTATCCATTCCTAACAAAGGTCGATTCCCAACATTTATGTTGTTAACAAGACCTACTTCAAAAATTTCATTAGGTGCATTTTCAGTGATTGAGTCTAAATGAGGAATGAAAGAGGAAAAATTCCTACTAGAGTCTTGCAACCTGTCAGGCTGGGAAAAACTTCCAAGTGAATGCTACTTTTCATCAGATTCTGTACCAGATCTCTGCTCCACCACGCATTCTAAATTCTTAACTTTGAGACAACCCCAACTTCCCCAGCTTCTCCAGCTCCTTTTCCCTCTTCTATCCCCTGAGATATAACCAGTTAACAAAGTTACTGGAGACCCCAGAGCAGATAAGAAAAGCATCCTAAGAATTCAGGGGAAAGACTTTGTGAAGAGGAAGGATGCCGTTTAACAAAGCAGAGTCAGGGTCCCAAACAAGAACAGTGAGAGAAAAAGGGAGAGGAGAATTGGGGCAAGAGAGAGCTGGTGAGAAGTAGAGGGGAGGAGGAATTTCACTTTACATTGGGAGAGAGGCTGTAGCACACGGAAGGCAAGAATGTTCCCTTTGCCTCTCTCTTGCTGGGGGTTAGGAAGGAGAGGAAGAGTAGGAAGAGGACCTGGGACTTTGCTGTAGGGGATGGAGGGATTGCGTGTGGAATAAGGGAGAAGGGTCAATTTCACTCTTGAGATTTGGGTTTAGACTGACTTCACTGCAGTTTTCACTCCTGCCCATTAATCCATTGGGATGGGAGCCAGAATAAAGGACGTAGCTCTAAGAGTTTGGTTGGGCACTCAGAGAGAGGGTGTGGTGGAGAGCAAGTTGCAAAGGTTGTACCTCTGAAATTCTATTAACAATTTGGCAGAACCTGAGTAGGGTGGTGTTGCCTTCCATTTTGAGAGAGTATAGAAAATCAGTGGATAGTGGGAGGGGGTCCCTTCTGTCCACTGAAACAAAGCTAAGGCTACTACCAACTACTACCACCATGACCGCTGTACTGCCAACAATTGAGTACCTTCTGCATGCTGGGCAGACTAGGCCAGGCACTTTACATTCATTAATCCCATTTAACCCTCACACCAAAGCCCTGTTTCCATTTTACAGATGAAGAAACTGAAGTTCAGAGAAATTAAGAAACTTGTTCAAGTTCACACAGCTTCTAAGAGTTTTAAAACCTCTGTGAGGAAAGGTTGGCTGGGTGCTGTTCCTACCACTCCGTTTGCAAACTTCCAGGAAGATTGGTTGAAAGTCTGAATAAGAGCTCTTGTCCTCCACCAGGCACCTACCCCTCCTCACTCTCAGAAGACTGAGGTTTTCTCTTTGGAGTTGATGACCCCAGGCACAGTGGAGGGTGGGAGGAAGGTGGTGTTCTGAAGCTGGAGAGGGACTAAAGTCTTCATAGTAAACCAGAACTCCAGTGTCCTTCCCTTACTCAGCTCCAGAATGCTAACAGACAGACTCAGATCCTGTCAAGACAAGCCTGAAGGATCCTCCTGTGGGGGAACTGCCCAACCCAAGAAAAAAAGACTGACAGATACAGACTGTTGGGGATTCCCCAACACAAAGGCTGGGTACCTGCCCTATTACCTACCTGACAGGGAAGCCTACAATGCAACTAATCCCTTCCACTCACAGAGAGCATCTAATCAACCTGTTAGAGCCTAACTCTTAATTATGAACAGTCAATGACTACTACGCATTGGAGGAAAAGGCCCGAACATGAAAAGCATCAACAAATAAATGAAAGGGTAGATAGAGACATTTCAGCATGAAAGGTCTCAACATCTTTATCACTCTTGCACTTTTTATCAGAAAGCTACTGGAGGATGTGCTCCTCCAAAATAAGAGATTAAACTAAGATAAAGGAAAACATGGCACTAGGAAACGAGGAATCCAACCCAGGAGAAAAGTGAAGAGAATTCCCAGGATGTTGCTACGTTGCAGAAAAACAAGAAACTAATTGATTTGCACACATTGGGAGGGATTTATATTTTTCTTGGAGAGCTTGGGATGAACTAGTGATAAATACACAGAATAATAAGCCAATGAAAAGATAATATGATTATTAAATGCTAGGGGAAAAGAAACTGTTATATAAGAGAGGAAATATAACCATAATACACTACATGGCTCAACAGTGAATAATGTTTACGTAGAGAATAATGTAAATAGCAAAACACTGTAATATAGCGTTTTTTAGGAAACGAGAGAAGAAGATGTGTAAGAAATATAAGTCCTTATCTTCCATCACAGAAAATGCATAATAACTAAAGCTAGAGAATGATAAGTAGCTGTATAAAGAGTGTTATTTAGCAATAGGAGCTAAAGACCAGAAGAAACTGAAAAGAATTGACAGAGATTGCCTCTGGAGAGAGGTTGGGGGTGGGAGGATAGGCTGGGGGCTTCTCTTTTCCTTTCAAGAACTATTTAACTGTCTAACTTGTGAATATGTCTTGCTGAAATAAAAATTAAGTTAAAATGAAATTTTAAAATTTAAGTTAATTCTGAGTTAAGAAAAAAAAAGACGACGAAAAGAAAGGCAACCAGAATTGGAAATTGAACCCTGACAGGAGAAAGGAAAGCAGGAAAGGACTAGACTTGGATTTGGCCCCCTGTGGGATGTCCACCCAGCCCTGCCATGGGAGGGGAGTCCCCTCTTTGGGTGAGGAGAGTCACTTCCTGGGTCAGAGGTGGTTTGGTATGTCAGGATATTTTTAGTTGCAAGTAATAGAAAATCCAACTCCAAATGGATTAAACAATCACTATCTCATATAACTAAAATGTACAAAGGGAAGTTGGACTTCAGGTCCTAGTCAACCGGGGCCTTTGTGAGCCTTCCTCTCTGAAGATTGGCTTGGTCCCATGGCTGAATCTCCTTATGGGAACTAGCTGATTGCAAGCAGCCTGAGGCTACATGCTTCCCTACTGGTATCTAGGAGAAGAAGTCCAAGTCATCTAACAAAAGTCATGGGCTTCCTTTTGATCGGACCTACTCAGATTACACACCAGCTTCTAAACTAAACCAAGGAAGAAGGGATTGCTCTGACCACATGAGGATGATCAGAGTCTACACCTGGAGTGGGAGTTGGGGTTAAACCCACTGAAATCTCAGCCAGGAGAGGTGAAATGGGGCTTGCAGAGGCCACATATTCAGCACTGCAAGTGAGATGAAAAGAGAACTGCCAGCCAGCCAGGCATCCATGTGGGGCATGGCCTGGACCTAAACAGTAGGCCCAGCAGCAAAAGAGGGTGGAAGGAAAGGTGGGCTTGAGGAAGAAGGGCAAAAGCTAAATTAGAAGTTTATATTGTGAAGTTATAGAAAGCTCAACAACTTTCTTTCCAAGATAAAGCTGGTAATAACTGAGAGCAACCTAGGTCCTTGAGATGAGCGACAATAGAGGGGTTGTGAGTTATTAGTGTCTTTAAGTCTATGGTGTGTGTGTGTGTGTGTGTGTGTGAGAGAGAGAGAGAGAAAGAGGGGACACCAAGACCTTAATGACTTATTTTTCCTTTTTCTAAGACTTTTCCTTTCCCCAGCCAGGGTGAAGCATCTCATTTGGTGAAGAACGTTGTCCTTGAGGAAAAGAACAAAATGGAGCTCTTTATTTCCCAAAGTGAAAGCCAAGAGTGTTCAGGGGTTTTAGATACAGTTCTTTTGTTTGAGAGATTAGATATCCCCTCAAGAAAGCACATAAATTGTTCAACTGGGAGAAAGGATTTTGGTTGCATCAACTTTAGCAGGATTATGATACCAGAACTGTGATTTTTCAGTGGGGACCTAAGAAGCAAGTGCCATTACATTTTGTAACTATTTTAAATGACCAGTTGACTATTTTAGATTTAGTTAAGCTGACTGGAAATTTATTCTGAAGTAGAGATGGTGCCAAACTGGCCAAAAATGGGTTAGGAGGAGAGATTGGCAAGAGAGTTGGCTTTCTGTAGAGAATTCATTTTTCTTAGAAAAGAGCTTGAAAATAGAGACCCTGTCAGAGGAGAATGGGAGTGGGGAGGGTAATGTAGGGGATACGGTGATGGAAGATCCTTCTTCTCAGGATATTTCGTCCCAAGTAGATCGAGGCATCTACTTAAGGCTAATAAAAGCTACGAGGAGAAATACAAGGAGAGAGGACTTGTTAAAAAGTTAATATGTATTTCAAAGTTCTAATAAGTAAAAAGAGTATGGCACCATAAGAACCCACTAAGAGATCAAAGAAACACTGCCCCCAAAGATCCTTGTATTCCAAGTGTGAGGTGGACATAGCAGGGCCTGCTGGTCATGAAAGGAACCAGCAGCCTGGGTCAATGGACCAGGGGCTGATGACCAGAGGGGCCTCCCTGATGTGCTGGCTCGTGTAGGACCTCAGGATCTTTGCATAACCCTCAAGTTAGGGAAAAACAAACTATTGTATACTTCTCAAATTGGAGAACCCTTGGAATGACCAAGACTGAATTTTCCATTTGGTTTGTGGGATGGGTGCTTAAAGTCTGGTGTAAATTAATTTTCTTAAAATTAAACACAACGCTTTCTTTATTCACAAGATCTTTCATAGAAACAAAAATGTGTGAACTAAAGAAGAAAATTGTTACCTCTATTCTTACTCCTGCTTGAGTAATGGAATATTACCAGTACCTTCACACACATTTATGTACCTTTGATTCTAGAGGTAACTATTATTCTGAATTTTGTGTGAATGATTCTTTTGCTTTTATTTACAATTTTATCACTAAATGTATCTCCAAGCAAAACATTATTTAGTTTTGCATGTTTTTGCACTTTCTATAAATGGCATAATATAGTAACCATTTTTTTTCCACTGAGATTTATCTTTTTGAGGTTCAATCATGATACTGCTTCTTGTGTGAGTGTAGTATGATTTGATCATCCTTACTTCTGTTAGTGGAGACTCAGGTTATTGCCAGCTTTTGCCTATCAGGAATAATGCTCCTATGAATATTCTCACACATGTCTCTCAGTGCACACGTGCAATAGCTTCTCCAGATCATACATTTAGGAATGGTCCATGATCAACATTTCTAGATAATGCCTAACTCTCTACCAAACTGGTTTTACCAAGTCACAACCCTGTGAGTAGTGTATGAGAACTCCCAGGGATCTACCTCCTTGGAAGCATTTGAGACGGTCCGACTTTTAACCTGTTGAAACCTGGAGGGTTTCAAGTGACTTTCACTGTGGTTTTCATATAAATAAAACTTGGGGATTAATCACCAATAAACTCTCACAAAAGGAAATTCTAAAGATTATACATTGGATAAAAGAAAAATGATAATGGAAATTCAGAAATGCAAGAAGGAATAATGAACAAAGATAGATAAACATATAAGTAAACAAAAAATTCTAGGTTGACTGTCTTCTGCTTTTTGTTGTTGCTGATAAGAAGTCAGTTGTCTAATTGTCATTCTAATAATAATAATAACTAATTATAGTGTATATTAATTGTGTATTATTTAATAATAATAGCTAATTATAGTGCCTATTAATGCTAGACATTCTTCTAGAAAGTGTGTATGCATTTTTCATGTAATACAAGAAATTGAA